AAAATGCTCTAAGTGCATTAACTCGGCGGAGCGCTTCCACAGTACCGAGGCTAGAGTCGACTTCCGGAGCGTTGCACTGTGGGTAGCTATCCCACAGTTCCCGCAGTCTCCGCTGCCCATTGGAATTCTGGGTTGAGATCCCAATGCCTGATGGGGCTAAAACATTGTCGCGGGTGGTTCTGGGTACGTATCGTCAGGCCCCCCGTTCCCTCCCTCCCTCCGTGAAAGCAAGGGCAGACAATCGTTTCGCACCTTTTTTCCTGAGTTACCTGTGCAGACGCCATACCACGGCAAGCATGGAGCCCGCTCAGGTAACCGTCACCCTATGTCTCCTGGGTGCTGGCAGACGCGGTATGGCTTTGCTGCACAGTAGCAGCAACCCCTTGCCTTGTGGCAGCAGACGGTGCAGTACGATTGGTAGTCGTCCTCATCGTGTCCGAGGTGCTCCTGGCCACGTCGGCTGGGAGCGCCTGGGCAGACCTGGGCGCAGGGACTAAATTTGGAGTGACTTGACCAGGTCATTCTCTTTAGTCCTGCAGTCAGTCCTATTGAACCGTCTTATGGTGAGCGGGCAGGCGATACGGACTGCTAGCAGTCGTACTGTACCATCTTCTGCCAGGCAGGCAAGAGATGAGGATTGCTAGCAGTCGTATTGTACCATCTTCTGCCAGGCAGGCAAGAGATGAGGATGGCTAGCAGTCGTACTGTACCATCTTCTGCCGAGCAGCCATGAGATGTGGATGGCATGCAGTCCTTCTGCACCGTCTGCTGCCAGCCAAAGATGTAAAAGATAGATGGAGTGGGTCAAAACAAGAAATACACCAGATTTGTTTTGTACTCATTTGCCTCCTCCCCTGTCTAGGGGACTCATTCCTCTAGGTCACACTGCAGTCACTCACAGAGAAGGTGCAGCGAGGTAAATCTAGCCATGTATCAATCAGAGGCCAGGCTAACCTCCTTGTTCCAATAAGAACGATAACTTAGGTGCACCATTTCTTATTGGAACCCTCCGTGAAGTCCTGCCTGAAATACTCCTTGATGTAAAGACACCCCCTTTGTTGATTTTAGCTCCCTGAAGCCAACCCTGTAAGCCGTGTCGTCAGTCGCCCCTCCCTCCGTCAGAGCAACGGCAGACAATCGTTCCGCGCCTTTTTTCTGTGCGGACACCATACCAAGGCAAGCATGGAGGCCGCTCAGCTCACTTTGGCAATTAGGAGCACATTAAACACCACACGCATTATCCAGCAGTATATGCAGTACCAGAACCTGGCAAAGCGATACCAGGCGAGGAGGCGACGTCAGCGCGGTCACGTGAGTGATCAGGACATGGACACAGATTTCTCTGAAAGCATGGGCCCTGCCAATGCATGCATCATGGTGCTAATGGGGCAGGTTCATGCGGTGGAACGCCGATTCTGGGCTCGGGAAACAAGCACAGACTGGTGGGACCGCATAGTGTTGCAGGTCTGGGACGATTCCCAGCGGCTGCGAAACTTTCGCATGCGTAAGGGCACTTTCATGGAACTTTGTGACTTGCTTTCCCCTGCCCTGAGGCGCATGAATACCAAGATGAGAGCAGCCCTCACAGTTGAGAAGCGAGTGGCGATAGCCCTGTGGAAGCTTGCAACGCCAGACAGCTACCGGTCAGTTGGGAATCAATTTGGAGTGGGCAAATCTACTGTGGGGGCTGCTGTGATGCAAGAAGCCCACGCAATCAAAGATCTGCTGATATCAAGGGTAGTGACCCTGGGAAATGTGCAGGTCATAGTGGATGGCTTTGCTGTAATGGGATTCCCTAACTGTGGTGGGGCTATAGACGGAACCCATATCCCTATCTTGGCACCGGAGCACCAAGCCGCCGAGTACATAAACCGCAAGGGGTACTTTTCGATAGTGCTGCAAGCTCTGGTGGATCACAAGGGACGTTTCACCAACATCAACGTGGGATGGCCGGGAAAGGTGCATGATGCTCGCATCTTCAGGAACTCTGGTCTGTTTCAAAAGCTGCAGGAAGGGACTTTATTCCCAGACCAGAAAATAACTGTTGGGGATGTTGAAATGCCTGTATGTATCCTTGGGGACCCAGCCTACCCCTTAATGCCATGGCTCATGAAGCCGTACACAGGCAGCCTGGACAGTAGTCAGGAGCTGTTCAACTACAGGCTGAGCAAGTGCAGAATGGTGGTAGAATGTGCATTTGGACGTTTAAAGGCGCGCTGGCGCAGTTTACTGACTCGCTTAGACCTCAGCGAAACCAATATTCCCACTGTTACTACTGCTTGCTGTGTGCTCCACAATATCTGTGAGAGTAAGGGGGAGACGTTTATGGCGGGATGGGAGGTTGAGGCAAATCGCCTGGCTGCTGGTTACGCGCAGCCAGACACCAGGGCGGTTAGAAGAGCACAGGAGGGCGCGGTACGCATCAGAGAAGCTTTGAAAACCAGTTTCATGACTGGCCAGGCTACGGTGTGAAAGTTCTGTTTGTTTCTCCTTGATGAAACCCCCCGCCCCTTGGTTCACTCTACTTCCCTGTAAGCTAACCACCCGCCCCTCCTCCCTTCAATCACCGCTTGCAGAGGCAATAAAGTCATTGTTGCTTCACATTCATGCATTCTTTATTCATTCATCACACAAATAGGGGGATGACTACCAAGGTAGCCCAGGAGGGGTGGTGGAGGAGGGAAGGAAAATGCCACACAGCACTTTAAGCACAGCACTTTAAAAGTTTACAACTTTAAAATTTATTGAATGACAGCCTTCTTTTTTTGGGGCAATCCTCTGTGGTGGAGTGGCTGGTTGGACGGAGGCCCCCCACCGCGTTCTTGGGCGTCTGGGTGTGGAGGCTATGGAACTTGGGGAGGAGGGCGGTTGGTTACAGAGGGGCTGCAGTGGCAGTCTGTGCTCCAGCTGCCTTTGCTGCAGCTCAACCATACACTGGAGCATACTGGTTTGGTCCTGCAGCAGCCTCAGCATTGAATCCTGCCTTCTCTCATCACGCTGCCGCCACATTTGAGCTTCAGCCCTGTCTTCAGCCCGCCACTTACTCTCTTCAGCCCGCCACTTACTCTCTTCAGCCCGCCACCTCTCCTCCCAATCATTTTGTGCTTTCCTGCCTCTGACATTATTTGCCTCCACGCATTCGTCTGTGCTCTGTCAGTGTAGGAGGACAGCATGAGCTCGGAGAACATTTCATCGCGAGTGCGTTTTTTTTTTCTTTCTAAGCTTCACTAGCCTCTGGGAAGGAGAAGATCCTGTGATCATTGAAACACATGCAGCTGGTGGAGAAAAAAAAGGGACAGCGGTATTTAAAAAGACACATTTTATAAAACAGTGGCTACACTCTTTCAGGGTAAACCTTGCTGTTAACATTACATACATAGCACGTGTGCTTTCGTTACAAGGTCGCATTTTGCCTCCTCCCACCGCGTGACTACCCCCTCAACCTTCCCCCTCCCTGTGGCCAACAGCAGGGAACATTTCTGTTTAGCCACAGGCAAACAGCCCAGCAGGAATGGGCTCCTCTGAGTGTCCCCTGAAGAAAAGCACTCTATTTCAACCAGGTGACCATGAATTATATCTCACTCTCCTGAGGATAACACAGAGAGATAAAGAACGGATGTTGTTTGAATGCCAGCAAACATACACTGCAATGCTTTGTTCTACAATGATTCCCGAGTATGTGTTACTGGCCTGGAGTGGTAAAGTGTCCTACCATGAAGGACTCAATAAGGCTGCCCTCCCCAGAAACCTTTTGCAAAGGCTTTAGGACTACATCTAGGAGAACCGCAAATGCCAGGGCAAAGTAATCCTTTCACATGCTTGCTTTTAAACCATGTATAGTATTTTAAAAGGTACACTCACCAGAGGTCCCTTCTCCGCCTGCTGGGTCCAGGGAGGCAGCCTTCGGTGGGTTCGGGGGTACTGGCTCCAGGTCTAGGGTGAGAAACAGTTCCTGGCTGTCGGGAAAACCGGTTTCTCCGCTTGCTTGCTGTGAGCTATCTACAACCTCCTCCTCCTCATCATCTTCTTCGTCCCCAAAACCTGCTTCCGTATTGCCTCCATCTCCATTGAAGGAGTCAAACAACACGGCTGGGGTAGTGGTGGCTGAACCCCCTAAAATGGCATGCAGCTCATCATAGAAGCGGCATGTTTGGGGCTCTGACCCAGAGCGGCTGTTCGCCTCTCTGGTTTTCTGGTGGGCTTGCCTCAGCTCCTTCAGTTTCACGCGGCACTGCTTCGGGTCCCTGTTATGGCCTCTGTCCTTCATGCCCTGGGAGATTTTCACAAAGGTTTTGGCATTTCGAAAACTGGAACGGAGTTCTGATAGCACGGATTCCTCTCCCCAAACAGCGATCAGATCCCATACCTCCCGTTCGGTCCATGCTGGAGCTCTTTTGCGATTCTGGGACTCCATCATGGTCACCTGTGCTGATGAGCTCTGCATGGTCACCTGCAGCTTGCCACGCTGGCCAAACAGGAAATGAGATTCAAAAGTTCGCGGTTCTTTTCCTGTCTACCTGGCCAGTGCATCTGAGTTGAGAGTGCTGTCCAGAGCGGTCATAATGGAGCACTCTGGGATAGCTCCCGGAGGCCAATACCATCGAATTGTGTCCACAGTACCCCAAATTCGAGCCGGCAACGTCGATTTAAGCGCTAATCCACTTGTCAGGGGTGGAGTAAGGAAATCGATTTAAAGAGCCCTTTAAGTCGAAATAAAGGGCTTCATTGTGTGGACGGGTGCAGGTTTACATCGATTTAACGCTGCTAAATTCGACCTAAAGTCCTAGTGTAGACCAGGGCTAAGTGTTACGAATTACACCTGAGAGGACACGCACACAACTGCTGCGAATTATACCTGATAGGACACGCACACCAGTGCTGCGAATTATACCTGATAGGTCATGCACACCAATGTTGCAAATTATACCTGATAGGTCACGCACAGTTCGAATCTAGGCTGAGGCACAGAAACAAAGTCCACAACTGCAGAGTTCCCAAAAGACACTAAGTTTATTACGCTCGAGCATGGTGCCCCCCTGCTAGCCAAGAGGGGACCCTGAATACAGATTATACAAAGGTTATATACTTTTTAGCAAAGCATGTTGCCCTCGTGCATCGAAAACCTTAGCCAATAAACAAACCCTTGTCTTATTTACCACCTGTCCCTGCTTGGTGCATTCCTTGTGCTATACCAGTATGTTAATTACACAGCATGGTCCTAAAGCCATGCATTAGTAACTTTTATTATCAGGATGGGAGGCCTCACATCAAGGCCAAGAGACAGGGAGTTAGAGACTAACAAAAACCAGATACTGGGAGTCAAGGCAGGCTGGAGACAAGGAGGAGGATTTTCACAGGGATTCAGTATCTAAGGATCACTCCTCCTGGTGTATGATGTGCTGGCATTTAAACAATGGTGGGCCCCAAACCAAAATGGAGTCACATGTGCTAACTTTTCCTTAACAGTCCTCCCTTTCTTTTTGTACATCAGTAAGCTATATTGGGGCTGAGTAACCGCGCTGCAGGGTTAGCAACTGCCGACAGCACATACTGCAGCATTGTAGGCATACAAAAAATAACGCAAAAACAATAACAGTCAAAAAAAGTTAATACAAAATATGCCGTCCCCAAGTCCCCACATCCAGTAGCCATGAGGTGAGCCAGTCCCAGACCTCCTGGAATCCTGCTTTGGTAGTGTCGAGGCTGATGTGGTGGAATAGGGCTGCCTGTTGCTCGAGGATGTGGATGTCAGTTTCCACCCTATGGTGCTGATTTACACACACACAACAGCTTGAGTTGACCAGAGCACAAACCCCGCCCTGATTTGCAAGGAGATAATCCAGGGCTAGGCAGTTTTGCAATGTAGTTTGGGATAGCTGGGTGACTTCAATTTGAAGGGCAGATAGAGCATCTGCAGTAGCATTTGCCATTAGTTCCAAAGCAGCTGAAATATTAACTATAGCTTTTTCCAGCTCGCTTACTCCCAACCATGGCAGAAACCAATGCACAAAGGAGTGAAAGCCTTTGGGCCGTTGAGAAAGGGGGTTTAAAGGAATACTTCGTCTGTCCCTCCATACTAGACTGCGGATCTCTCCCCAGGTCAGGTTCTGGTGTACTGTCACGGCGGGTACTATAGCCCCTAAGGTACATGTACCACACCATCCTGCTGGGAGAACCTTATAGGCTGTGTGATTGCATAACCAATACCAGCCAGACCCCTCGGGGACTGGTCACGGGGTTCTGGAGTAGGTAAAGGGACCTCCTGCACCAGAGCTGATTTGGGTGGTGTCCTTGCACCCCACAAAATTCCCTACAAAAACTGTATTTTCTATGCCCTTACGTCGTGACACACATAAAGCATAATTATCCTGCGCCACCATATCAATAGACCATATTTGGATTGTAACATTCCAGTTAAATGTAGTGTTTGCCCATAGCTTAGCTTGGAGTGTTCGATTAAGGGGGATAGGTACCCCTACCAACGGGACCCCCTGACCTAAATATGTGGGGGTATGAATACAAAACCAACACTGCGTTCGATTTACACCCTGTTTGATAACACGGGTTAAATTCAAGAAGCTATTGCCCTCCCATCATTGTACTGGACTTGGGAATAGGGAGAGGACCCCCCCAGGCAAACCATACCAATGTCGGCATCCTCCCCTGTACCATACAAAAAACACTACCCCCAATGTAAGTCCAATAAACAGGAACACAAAAAGTCCTGGTGGGCTGTGAAGGTCCCAGTAGCTGGAAAGCTCAGTCCATGGGTTGGTTGTAGTGTTCATTCGTGAAGTGGCTCGTCCAATGGCTTGTCAGGGTCAGGTGGGGGTCCCAGCGCCAACTTAATGTAGCTATGATGGATCCAGGAACCTTTACCTGCAAAGGAGTGGTGGCAGACGGTGGGAGTAATGTTCGTGGCTGTAAGGCGTTTTTGGTATTTATACTTGCCTACAAGCACAGGTTCCAGCCTCTGGAATAAACCCACCCCACCACTTCACTTCACATTCCCAAGAATAAATCCCGCAACTTCCTCCCTGCCAATGTACAATGCTCCATTTTTGCCATTAAGGCCAACTCTAAGTGTCTTTTGCAGTCAGGAATCCTTGGGTTTTGGTGGTTTTAGCAGAGCAGGCATTTTTTCTTTTTTCTTGGAACAGTCATGGTTTTGCATTATACAGGGGAGAGGTTACTAGCACGTCACCCTGTAGTGCTTTGGTTTCTTTAGCAAATACTGAATGCAGGTTAGCTTTGTCATTGGACAAGGGAGAGGTTACTAGCACTTCACCTTGTTTTTTTTTTTTTGTTGGTTTTTTGTTGGGTTTTTTTTGCTGTTTAAAAGGAGGAAAGAAAAAAAAAACCCAGAAGGAGGGACAGGCTGATCAGTAGTTGAAGTGAAGTCATCTCGAGGTGGAGGGGTCTTTTTGCAGTAAGAAGCATGGGTCCAGGCAGTCAGTCCTTGGCACTTCACAGCGGTGTTGGTAGTTAGCAGGACTTAATAAGGGCCTTTCCAGCATGGGGCCAGAGTAGTCTTTTGTTGATGGACCTTTATTTAGACCCAGTCACCTGGTTTTAACAAATGGCAGGTTTGCTCAGGATTCTTGAAGCAGGACTTCTTTTACCTGTAAATACAGAGACCTAACACATTTCATTAATGTCTGGCAGTGTGTTGCAGATCTCACAGCTGCTTGGGCACATTCAAGCCCCCCTCTTTCTTGGCTATTAGCCAAATCCTAGCTATGAGTAGTGTCCTTGGGCAGGCCAGTGTCTTATCTTTGGACCGAGCCTGCCAGCTGCAGCGTTGAATTAGCTCGTCCTCCGTTTTATTTCTTTTTCCCTTTTTGGCTTTTATTAACCTGCAAAGGAAACTTTCACTTTTTACTTATACACCTTTGTTTAAAAAGGAACACATGTACATTGCCCATTATACAGCACTTTAGTCTTATTGTTTAATGTATGCCACATACACCCTTCTAGGAAAATAACTTTATTACAGAGCTTTGGAGCAACAAGCCAGGACAAGCACACCCACTTTTGAGGAGTCCACTTGGTACAACCTCTGGTGTTCAATAGCTTTCCTCCCTCCCCAGCCCTCTGTCTAGAAATGTGAGGTAGCCAGAAGGATCTCATGTATAATATGGGGAGTGGGTTAACCTTTCATGTCCTTGCTTCCAAAGACTGTTGGTGTGCAAATTTTAACAACAATTTTTTTTAATTAAAAGATCTGGCCAATGAATTTTTTTTTTTAACTTAAGCAAATGTATTAAACTTTAGTATATTACATTTTTTAATATTATCCAAACACTTTGTATTCCAAGTTGAATAAAACAAGTATCTGCATTTTGATTTAACCCTTCTATTTAGTTTTAAACTAAACTGTCCTATGAAAAATTAAACACAGCAATTTTGGCCACAAGACAAACACCACAAGACAGGACATAAAACACAGAACAGAATTCCTATTGTGCCAGTAAATTCATGAGATGTTGAATTGCTTTTCAGCTGGCATCAGTTTTCTTTGATTTTCTGAAAGACAAAAATAAAACACAGATCTACCCCTTTTGGGCAGTCAGTCATTGCTTAAAATATTTTTTTTTATACAAATACCCTTGTTAATTGCAGGCAAAACAGAGGAATTACCCATATATTCTTGTATTTGTTTCATAGGCAGCCCAGGTTTCAGTGGCCTCTACCTTATCAGTTAGGTAATTTACATTAAAACAAATGCTTTCCGGCTTGCTTTTGGATCTGCAGGTTAAAGATTTTTACTTTAAACAGGGCACAATGAACTTTACTATACTTTTGATTGCCTTTTACTTTTAACTCCTGCTGTCAAACACACAGCGACCTGAAAAGGAAGACACCACCTATTGTAGCACCTTGGAGCCCAATAAGATATTAATTAAGTAGCACTGTATAATTGCATTTCTTTGGAAAAGGGCCCATTTTTTTCCAAAATGGCTGCAAAGAAACCAAAAATTTTTTTCTTTCCAGTATTTCACAAAGTTCAACTGCTTAATTCTTTCCAGCAACTAAAGAGTTAACTTCTTACTTTACTTTCTTAAATTACTTGCTTATTTCCCAAAACGACACCCAATTAACTTAGATTTTACCATTCCAAGTATTATTCCGGGATTTACGTTTTCCATTCCTGCAATTATTTACTCCTCTTTTTTCACTATGACATTTAAGTTTCCAACCTGTTTTCCAATCTCTCTATCTGTTGCCTGCCCGCTTGGGCCTGATCCTGTTTTTTTCTCTGAACTGTCCCTTCCATGAGCCCCAGCTTTGTTTCACTACCAAATTAACAAGGAGGGTGGGCTTCTTAACCAGCCCCCAGCCCTCCTGGTCTCTTTTCTTAAATATTTTTACTTACAAGGGCTACTCGAGTCCTTCCCCCATGAGGCTTGTCACCTGGACAGAAAGCACGGCTAATTGGCAAGCAAGGAGGTGACGGGCATAAGTCAGAAAGTGGAGGGTAAGCCGGAGGAGGGGCAGAAGCAGGCATAGCACAGAGCGGGGCGGGAGACCCCTGAGATGAATAAGAAAAGGAGGAGGAAAGAGGACGTCCTTTCGCATGCGCATAAGCCCAGTTGTTCCATACATACCAATAATCCATCTGGGCTGGAGCTTTGTTTTCCAGCCTTTTCCTAAGCGCTGTTAATTTTTCCCCAGCAAAGGAACCATCCGGTGGCCAGTCAAAAGGTGTTTGAGTTGTTAGTGCTGGCCACTCAACCTTGCACAAGATTACAGCTTTTTTTTTTTTTTTTACCTAACCCATGGGTACCAGAAATAGTCCCTCAATTCTTGAGAATTTCAGCCAAAGGGGTCCCCTTACTTACACTCTGCCCAGAACCCATAATGGGCTACCAAAAGGACACCAAATGTGCCACCTTATCGCCTAAGCGACGGCTCACACCCCCCTCCTCAGAGTTCTCAAAGGTGAACTCACCCTGTGCCAGCTGGAGCTGTCCGAGAGGAGGAGTGTAGTCTCGCTTGTTGGGGCGAGCCTAGAGTCCCTTCGTGGTCGCCAAAACTGTTACGAATTACACCTGAGAGGACACGCACACAACTGCTGCGAATTATACCTGGTAGGACACGCACACAAATGCTACGAATTACACCTGGTAGGACACGCACACAAATGCTGCGAATTATACCTGATAGGACACGCACACCAGTGCTGCGAATTATACCTGATAGGACACGCACACCAGTGCTGCGAATTATACCTGATAGGTCACGCACACCAATGTTGCAAATTATACCTGATAGGTCACGCACAGTTCGAATCTAGGCTGAGGCACAGAAACAAAGTCCACAACTGCAGAGTTCCCAAAAGACACTAAGTTTATTACGCTCGAGCATGGTGCCCCTCTGCTAGCCAGGAGGGGACCCTGAATACAGATTATACAAAGGTTATATACTTTTTGGCAAAGCATGTTGCCCTCGTGCATCGAAAACCTTAGCCAATAAACAAACCCTTGTCTTATTTACCACCTATCCCTGCTTGGTGCATTCCTCGTGCTATACCAGTATGTTAATTACACAGCATGGTCCTAAAGCCATGCATTAGTAACTTTTATTATCAGGATGGGAGGCCTCACATCAAGGCCAAAAGACAGGGAGTTAGAGACTAACAAAAACCAGATACTGGAAGTCAAGGCAGGCTGGAAACAAGGAGGAGGATTTTCACAGGGATTCAGTATCTAAGAATCACTCCTCCTGGTATATGATGTGCTGGCATTTAAACAATGGTGGGCCCCAAACCAAAATGGAGTCACATGTGCTAACTTTTCCTTAACAATTAGGAAAAGTTTTTAAGAGTAATTAAGATCTGGAACAGGCTTCCAAGGGAGGTTGTGGAATCTCCATCACTGGAGGATTTTTAGAACAGGCTGGACAAACATCTGCCAGGGATGGTCTAGATTTACGTGGTCCCACATCATGCAGGGGGCTGGACTTGATGAACTCTCAAGGTCCCTCCCAGCCCTACATTTCTAGGATCTCTCTCCTGATGACTACGCAGTTGGCTTTGTCCTACTGTATGTTTCGTACTCCCTTCAATTTTAGCATTGTCTGCATGTTTGATCATGGATTAATTTATACCTGACAGACACCACACAAAGCAAGACAAGAAGTTGCCAGGCAGAGCGAAGAGAAGGGAATGTGTAGTTAGTCAAAAAACTCACTTCAGACGAGCAGAAAGTGACACTCTTTAAAGACTGATAGATGCTTTGCTAGTGTGAGAGACTCTTCTTGATGGGCCACCTGAAAACACTATACACTAAACAGTCTGAGAGCCACGAGGAAGTTCAAGGCAAAGCTAGAAGACAGTCTGGGATCTGAAATAAAAACGGCTTCTTTTACTTACAGAAAAAGGCATGAAGAAGTCACTCTTCTTAAAGGCACCATTTTTGTCCAAGAAATGTCCCAGGTTAAATTGCTCTGGGTTTACAAATTTTTTGCTGTCACATAGAACTGACTTCAGTGCAGGGAATATCGTGGTGCCCTGAATTCACAAATGCAGGAAAAAAGAGTTAAAGTGGACACTATCCAGAAGAGAGAAGCCTTCAAAATTCACTTGAGTTGGACTGTGAGACCCATCTTTGTTCTTCATTTCCTTGAATCCCCTGAACGTCATGTTTTCAACCAGAAGCAGAAATATTAAAATGTCTTGAGCACAGCTAATCCCACTGATCTACAGTCCACCCTTTGTACCTCCGTGCCAGTGATACACTGAGTGCCTTTGGGCAAGGCACTTTGGGCAAGGCACTTTTTGTCTCAGAGCCCTTGTTAGAGTAGCAAGTTTATTTTACCTCTGTATTTGGTACTGGTGAGACCGCTGCTGGAATACTGTGTCCAGTTCTGGTGCCACAACTCAAATGAATAAAAGATTAGAAAACATATTTTATAGTGTGTGATGGGTTCGATCACAGAGACCCCCCCTTGATGCTGTCACCTGACATGCTGGAATTACCTCTGAGCCCGTCTTCCACTGCCAGCTTGGGACTCCAGAACCCTGCCTTGTTGAGGAAGACATGCTAGCCTGCTGCAACAAAGGCCCAGGTCTGGTCCACACCCCCAAAGCTGCAGACTTTAACCAAAAATGGCTCAGCAAGTCACCTGTCTCCAGCACCCAGACAGGCAGCTCCCAATAGGATCCAAACCCCAAATAAATCTGTTTTATTCTGCATAAAGCTTATACCGGGTAAACTCATAAATTGTCCACCCACTGTAACACTGATAGATAGATATGCACAGCTGTTTTGTGCATCTTCAGTCTTTCCAGAAAATATCTTCTGAATGCCCCAACATTTTTAAATATCCCCCAGGGAGGCCCAGGCATGTAATCCACGAGAGTTGGGAAAAAATTGTACAACTATAAAGGTTGAAAGAAAAACACAGGTTGATTTATCTGGACACAACAGATAATCATAGTGTGCACTCAAATGACTCAACTACAGCAGTACAATACAATACTTCTGAGGCACCTTCTATCAAAATGGATTCAACAGAACGTTGCAAACTCCACTAAGTCAGACTATCGAACATATACAAATTCATCACAAAAATCCCAGTGCCATTCAGTTATAGCAACTAAGATACACGCCATTTTTTCCAACATAACACACATCCTTTTCTTGAAAAAACAAACAACTCCCCAAACTTAGCTCTAACCACAGATTTTCTTAGGCAGTTATAAACCATTATAGATTTTAAAAGGACACTACACTTTAGACTTCCTGAGGTAGCAGTTAAAGGGCCAAATTACCTGCTGGTGTAACTCTATTTCTTTTGACTGAACTATGCCAGCAGAGAGTTTGGCCCTTCATTGTGCATTTCGTGAGGTTTTCAGGGATGGGGTGAGTGCGTGGTGGCTGGCTGTGAACTGGAAGTGAAAGGAAGTTTGCTTTGGAGGTGAGGAATGTGATCACATTCACCTAGCACATTGCAGAAGTCCTAGGGAATGTTTTGATGTTGATGTTGATATCAGTGTTTTTATTGGTGATTTCCTTGATTTTTTACCAATTGTGTAGATAGAGAATGTCGTCGAGCAAACTTAATTCTGACCTAACAAAGTGTTTTGTGTGGGAATTTAAACAATACATAGAAACAAGTTTGAGGCTGGGTTTGGTAGCAGCAGCAGCTTAACAAGGAGAAGGAGACCATTATGGGAATCTGAAATAACACTTGTTTAGTGAAAATTAATAGTTAAAGAAAGAAATCTCTGTCCCCTCTCCCAGTACAAAGGAGAAGAATAGAATAAACACTTGAACATACCGCTGTCCAGGGAGAGCACTGGAGCTTGCCATTTTCCTCTATAAGATTTATTAATGTCACAAACTTCTTATCTTCATAGTCAAACCGGTCCCCAGAGATGATGGAGCAGATGACGTTGGAGTCAGCGTGGGTGAGGAAGAGGGTGGGGTCAAAGGGCCGCCCTGGAGCAAAACAAAACTCAAAAAGAGTCAGTTTTAATTCTGTGTTTTCACCCTCAGCATCAGAGTCACTGACAGCACAGGGATGTTGTGGATTTTCTACCCCAGGGCAAGGTGGGGCTCATTGTAATATTCCCTGAGGAGGGTGGGTTAGGGCTGCCCCAATCCCCCCTCTTACCTCTCACATGCTAAATTAAACACGTGCCACTTTTTTTTCTTGGCAATCAGTTTTCACTGTCTGCTCTGCTGCTCTCTGCCTGGCACACTCTGGTCTGACCAGGGGCCATCAGTGCCTCTCTGAGTGACACCTGCCAGTCTGACTTGAGGCCCATTTAACAGAAAGAATCCCAACCCTTTCACAAGAAGATCCTGCTCAGAGGGCTCTGCCTGAGTCATCACTTGTGTTTTTTAGCATCATTACTATTTAGCACCATTGTAAAGGCAGTCTTACTATATCGTGCTGAAACTTAGAGACATACTGAAACCTCATTATCTATACTCCAAGTTCTCATAAACAACTGCCTTTAGACAAATTCTCAATATCAGATGGGTTAAAAAAAAATCACAAATTAAGAACTCTGGAGGAAGATGAAACAAAAACTGATGGGACAGGAATGAAACTGGAGATGACTACAACATATATGGACAAAAGACCTGAATATCATCATAAGACAGGCATTGGACTGGAACCCTCTTGGCAAGAGGCAATAGGTAGACCATGAGTAAGTTGAAAATGCACAATTGTTAGTTATCAAATTGACATTGGAAGACGCTAAGACTGCAGTAGGAGATTGGCAAAGATGGAAGGCGCTGGGGAAGGCCCTATGTTCCACAAGGAATGGAGAGGAATACGGTAAGAGAGAATGAGTGTCAGTTATGAAGCACTGTAAATGTACACAGTGATTACAAACATTCCGATGGAGCCCATCGCTATCAAAGGTAGGTGCCAAATATGTATCAGACATCTAGCCAAGAGCAAATGAGAAGCAGCAAACTGTAGGCGTGGGTGTCTTCTTAACCCAGCACACTGGAACTAACCCGCTCTAATATGGTTCACTGTGTTAGGGTCTACAAACTCTAGACAAACATTTTCAATTTGCTCATTGGTCACAGATCAGAGGGGAGAAAATGTGAGAAAGAAACAGCCAGAAATGGTCATCTCTGGAACTTTTCACACATCCTTTCCCATTACATTAACACAGGTTGTTATATATGCAGTTAATGGCTTGAGTTATTAGACGTTTGAACCAAATAATTAATATAATGAAAAACAGAAAGAAAGATAAGAGTCTTTGACTCCTCAATTTCCAACAGACATGAAACAATCCCCACCGTGTGTGTTTCTGAGTCTTTCCACCAGAAAACGGGTTTCTTCCTGGATACGCTCCTCAATGCTTTTCTTCCCCATCCCAAAATTTCTCAGATTAGCCAGGGCAAATCAGTGGAGCTGCTTCCATCGTTCCCCACTGCTGAAAACAATACCTGGAAACAGGAAGAGAACAGGAATGAAAGGAGGGAGGGCCAGACTCAGTTTGCCTCTTTGAAAAATACCCAAACATTGGTGAGTCAAAGGTTCCATTTCAACTTAACTGATATTGTGTCTGTGTTCTAGTAGGGAGACGACATTACAGCTACATTGCAAATACTGATTGCAGTATTGCTATTGCCATGTGGGACCCCGGATATCAGAGAGACAAGGTAGGTGAGGTCATATCTTCTATTGGAGCAACCTGTGTTGGTGGAAGGATAAGCTTTTGAGCTGCACAGAACTCTTCCTCAGGTCTGCAGCAGGTAATTAGAGTGTCCAAGCTAAAAACAAGGTGGGACAGACTGCAAAAGAGTTTCACATTTAACAGAGACACTGGTTTTTTGGCCCATTGCAACTATTTATAAGACACCCTGCTGACTAACCCTCCATCATCCCACCACTGCAGAGGTGTTAATTGTTCATTTCATGTTTATAGGACACTTCATTTTCAGTCGTTTCCCAGAATGTGCCCAAGTTACAAGCCTTTGAAAAAAATCACATTTCACACATGCTCAATAGAGACTTCTTAGAGTTTAGCAGCTAAAATCGCCAAAGGTTCTGTCCTCCCGAGGCGTGAACCAGCACCTCACAGATCCTGGTGCCTGTCCATATGTGAGATGAAAACCCACTACTGCTATCAGTTACTCCATTAACTCAGTGCCTATGCACCTACACAGACATATCTTAATTCTAGCATTCCCTAAATTCTGAGTGCTTGACTTTACCACCTTAATAATGTTGCTTTCAAGAAACTACACTGAAGGTTGTTTTCACAGTCACTGTGATTCTAATAGAACTATAGTTCACTTAATGCATAAATCAGATAAAAGACTTCCTGAAAAGGACATCTTGGTTCCATATTTATTACTCCCTCATAACTAAAGAACCTTAAAAAACAAGGGTCCCAAATAAATCAATAATAAAAATAATCCTTCTCCAGCCAAGGGATCTGCCTAGTTAGTGAGGACAGGTGAGGAAGGGGATAGGAATTTGTGGTTTGTTCTGACTCTCTTTGCCTCTCCAGCCCTGCTCTTCTGGCTGTATTCTGTGCCTTGTAGGGTAGGTTGGCCTGACCGTTTTCTCTCATAAACCTTTAGTGAGATGTCAGGAAACATTCATGTCAGTGAACCAGTGATGAAATGGGGATTGAGGTCTTTCCTGGAACCAACAGTATTTACCCAATTTTTACTACCATATTAATGAAACTCCAGCTGTTTCCCTTTTCTCTTCTCAGTTGCATTCTCCCCATACAGAAAACATCAGCTCTATATGCTGACGTTACTTGAAATGTACCTGTTTCTTTGGCATGTTTTTCAAATAATGGCATACTTCCTCTTCCACTGGTTTCAGAGGAACAGCCGTGTTAGTCTGTATTTGCAAAAAGAAAAGGAGTACTTGTGGCACCTTAGAGACTAACCAATTTATTTGAGCATGAGCTTTCGTGAGCTACAGCTCACTTCATCAGATGTATACCGTGGAAACTGCAGCAGACTTTATATACACACAGAGAATATGAAACAATACCTCCTCCCACCCCACTGTCCTGCTGGTAATAGCTTATCTAAAGTGATCAACAGGTGGGCCATTTCCAGCACAAATCCAGGTTTTCTCACCCTCCACCCCCCCCACACAAATTCACTCTCCTGCTGGTGCTAGCCCATCCAAAGTGACAACTCTTTACATAATCAAGTCGGGCTATTTCCTGCATAGATCCAGGTTTTCTCACATCCCCCCCACCCCCATACACACACAAACTCACTCTCCTGCTGGTAATAGCTCATCTAAACTGACCACTCTCCAAGTTTAAATCCAAGTTAAACCAGAACATCTGGGGGGAGGGGGTAGGAAAAAACAAGAGGAAACAGGCTACCTTGCATAATGACTTAGCCACTCCCAGTCTCTATTTAAGCCTAAATTAATAGTATCCAATTTGCAAATGAATTCCAATTCAGCAGTTTCTCGCTGGAGTCTGGATTTGAAGTTTTTTTGTTTTAAGATAGCGACCTTCATGTCTGTGATTGCGTGACCAGAGAGATTGAAGTGTTCTCCGACTGGTTTATGAATGTTATAATTCTTGACATCTGATTTGTGTCCATTTATTCTTTTACGTAGAGACTGTCCAGTTTGACCAATGTACATGGCAGAGGGGCATTGCTGGCACATGATGGCATATATCACATTGGTGGATGTGCAGGTGAACGAGCCTCTGATAGTGTGGCTGATGTTATTAGGCCCTGTGATGGTGTCCCCTGAATAGATATGTGGGCACAATTGGCAACGGGCTTTGTTGCAAGGTCGCTATCTTAAAACAAAAAAACTTCAAATCCAGACTCCAGCGAGAAACTGCTGAATTGGAATTCATTTGCAAATTGGATACTATTAATTTAGGCTTAAATAGAGACTGGGAGTGGCTAAGTCATTATGCAAGGTAGCCTGTTTCCTCTTGTTTTTTCCTACCCCCCTCCCCCAGATGTTCTGGTTTAACTTGGATTTAAACTTGGAGAGTGGTCAGTTTAGATGAGCTATTACCAGCAGGAGAGTGAGTTTGTGTGTGTATGGGGGTGGGGGGGATGTGAGAAAACCTGGATCTATGCAGGAAATAGCCCGACTTGATTATGTAAAGAGTTGTCACTTTGGATGGGCTAGCACCAGCAGGAGAGTGAATTTGTGTGGGGGGGTGGAGGGTGAGAAAACCTGGATTTGTGCTGGAAATGGCCCACCTGTTGATCACTTTAGATAAGCTATTACCAGCAGGACAGTGGGGTGGGAGGAGGTATTGTTTCATATTCTCTGTGTGTATATAAAGTCTGCTGCAGTTTCCACGGTATACATCTGATGAAGTGAGCTGTAGCTCACGAAAGCTCATGCTCAAATAAATTGGTTAGTCTCTAAGGTGCCACAAGTACTCCTTTTCTTTTTCCTCTTCCACTGAACTCCTCCCTGAGACTGATCAGAGCTTCCTTCAGAATCTCATGTCCATACAGCACCACAACCTGTTCTGAACCTAAGTATATTGTGAAAATCGAGCAGTACTTTTCACTGAGCTGTAAACATTTAGCACAAAGACCAATAAGTTTTAACTTAGATCCACTTATAGAAGGATAAGAATGTGAGTTTGGTTAACCTTTAAAAAAATGTTGTGACCCTCCCCTCCCCCTTATACTGAATCTGTACAACTCTTGATTTCATACTGAAACATTAAGACTCTGAGATGCATGACATGATGTGACCAGGAAATCAGTGGAAATATTCCCATTTATTTCAGTGGGATTTGGATCAGGTTCTGTGAGAAATTATTGAAACAGGATGTGAAGGGACAGTGCAGCTTAAAAGAAAACCAATGATTTCAAAGTTTGGAAATGCAGAGCTAACATCGAGTCATAGGTTGTAAGGCAGAAGATTCTAGATCTTCTCATCTGACGTCCTGTCTAGAGCAGGCCATTCACCCAGTTAACCATGTATTGAGCCCAATAACTTGTTTGACAACCAAATCTCCCAGAAAGGCACCAAATCTCAATGTGAAGACCTCAAGAGATGGACAATTCACCACTTGGTAGTCTGGTCCAGTGGTTAATCACCCTCACTGTTAAAAACATACCTCATTCTGATTTGGGTTTGTCTGGCTTCAACTCCCAGCATTGGTTCTTGTTCTGCCCTTCTCCTCTACATTAAACAGCCTTTTAATAGCCGCTATTTTCTCCCTTTGAAGGTACAGCAGAACCCTGTTTATCTGATCTAACAGGGACCGGGCCCCGATCAGATAATCAAAAATTCGGATAATCTGGAGAATGGGACAGTGCACGGCTGCAGTTCCATCTAGTAGCCACAGGATAAAGCACCCACCTGTGTGTGCTGGTTGTTCGGTTAATATGGAGAGCCGGATAATGGAGGGTTGGATAAACAGGGTTCTACTGTACTTATTGCCTGTAATCTAGTCTACTCTCAGCCTTCATTTTGAGACGTTAAACAGAATAAGCTGTTTAAAGCTCTCGCTGTAAGGCATTTTCTTCAGCCATTGAATCATTTTTGTGACTCTTCTCCAATTGTTCAAAAGGTGGTGACCAGACCTGTAAACAGTATTCCAGTGCCAATCTCACCAATGCCTTACACAGAGGCAAAATCATACCTCTACTCCTATTCACTGCTTCCCTGTTTCTACACTGGAGGACCACACAAGACCTTTACGTCACAGTGTCATATTGGGAGCTTGTGTTCAGTATTTGTGGTTTGTTCACTGCGACTCCTAAATGCTTTTCACAAGAACTGCTTTCCAGGATACTGTCTCCCACTCTGAAGCTAACATCACCCAAACAATCTTAACTCTGTCCCTCCATTTCTTTCAGGGCTGACCTTTTGTTATCTCAAGACCAGACTAACATAATGTGCCAAGAGAAGCAAGGGCTAACGCTCATCTTAATTATCAGAGGGGTAGCTGTGTTAATCTGGATTTGTAAAAGCGGCAAAGAGTTCTGTGGTACCTTATAGACTAACAGACGTATTGGAGCATGAGCTTTCGTGGGTGAATACCCACTTCGTTGGATACATGCATCCGACGAAGTGGGTATTCACCCATGAAAGCTCATGCTCCAATACGTCTGTTAGTCTATAAGGTGCCACAAGACTCTTTGCCGCTCACCTTAATGGCATTTCTATATGTGTGTCTGTCTGTCTGTAACATGCTAGTTCTTGAATACTGCATCCCATAGATTCCAATGGTTCAGGGAATGTTCTAGGCCTCAGTGACCAGAAGTCTATTGATTTTGGTGAAAACTGGAAAAAACAAAAGGGCTAAACTGTGGACACACAAACCATTGGGCATTTGGTTGGCAAAGCCAACAGCTTCAGCCACCTCTATGACTGTCCACAGAGTAAAGTACCAGTGGACGGCAGCTATTAAAACCTTCCAACATAACATCCCTCATCTCAGTTCTGCCGATCTTTCCAATGCAGATTTCAGATGCTGGCACCCTGAAAGACAAAGAAATGAACAAAGAGAAGGAGAAAGAAAAAACAAAAATGGTGGAGGGAAGGGGAATGGGAAGGCCTTGGTGGAAGGGGGCAATAGGGGTCCACACAGAGACCCTGGCATGGGAGCCAGGATGGGGGACAATGGTTTGGGTAAATGGGGGCACAGAGAGCCCCAGCCATGGTTGGGGAGAAGAACTG